CTAACACCACCATGAACAGACCTTCAATAAAGCATCAACCAAAATTTTCACATTCATTAGCCATCTCCTTGTTATCATAAACTATGATAGGCTTAGGAAGAAAACATTGAAAATTTTGCTGCAGTAATCTCCCTAAAGCAGTTTGAACTTGAGTCCATGGTTGCTAGAATCGTGTTATTTACAATTCGATTCGTACAATTCGATATGAGTTTCAACCAAACTGACTTAAATTGTGTTGTTGAATCAGAAATTGAATGAAACATGTGATTCAATTTGAGATTCACAATGATTAATTGTGATTCAGTTTTGCTCTTATATTTGCTTACAAAATTCATGAAATAACATTATTTTCGCCTTTCTATCAACAAATAAAAAGAGGATCAATTATTTATATTGATATACATGATTATATATACTTAGTTATATTGATATTTACTTCATTTTAAACACTGTGTGTGTATTTGTATATGTATATACATATATAAATTTATATATTAAATAGAGTAATCTGACCATTTACTATTCACATTTTAGCAAACGATTCGCGATTTAATAACAATGCTAGAGTCCATGAAGCATGCAAATTCCCCCTCCTACAAACGTAAGCACAACCCCAATCAAAATTCTTGCATATATTTCTTGTTTCCATCAAGATAGAATTAGTTAAATTAGAATTGTACATGCCTTTGTTTGCCCCTGTTCCTTGGCCCTTAACTCTACAACAAATTCCACAGACCTATTATTTAGAATCTCTCCCATATCTTTACCACCTACGTTACACGGACTCAGGTACGGGTATTGGGTTCGGGTGTGGGTGCGTATCTAGGGGTCGAACACTTCAAAATTAAAAATTGAAGATACGTGAATATGGATCCAAATTTGGATACGGGTACAGGGATACATTAAATAGTTATTTTTAAATATATTTATGATATGAAGATGAGTTTAAAAAAGTAAAGGAATAACAGATTTTGTTAAAAAAAAAAACAAATAAAATATAAATAACAAATAAAAATTATTTTAAGCACTATATAAGGAGCCTCTCACATTTGTACTAAAGATATAAATCTTGTAAGATATCAATCAATCAATAATACATAATTTCTTACAATATTATATTATTTATGATATATTATATTATACAATAATATTTTATAATATGAATACTATTATATATTATTATATTAATGTAATTTATAGACGACAGAGAACAGAGAGAAAAGAAGATAGTCGAGAGAGAGAGAGAGTAGAAGAAGAGGGAGATTGAGAGGAGAGGAAGAGGGAGATTGAGAGACGAGAGAGAAGACAGAGAAAGAGATCGAGCATCGAGCGAAGAAGATCGATGCCAAAGTCGAAGCCGTCGACCAGAGGAATCAAAGTCGGTGACCAAATCGAACAGCGAACGACAACCAGATTCTCTCTTGCTCTCTCCTCTTTCATTTCTTTTGCCGTATCCGTTTGTGAACCCGGCCGCATCCCGCACCCGCACCCGTGTCGTGTCGACACGGGTACCTCCAAAAATCCGAAGAGTCCGTGTAACGTAGTTTACCACCCATTCCTTCACCAAACAATACCTGATGCAATAGAGATCATATATTCTTCCAGCCCTGTGATCTGTTTCCAAGGGAATAATAATATTTGACTTTTTTCCAGTCACCCACGTAGATAACTCTATGAAAATTCTGCAATTGTTGGAGAATTTCTCAGCCCACATCATGAAATTACTACATCTATACTTTCTAAACAAAACATTTACCTGCTTCCTATTAAATATGAACTACCTATTTATCATAAAATAAAATATGAACTACCCAAAATGCAATTCCCAAGGTCATAGTCATTGTGAAACTTGCAGCCTGTTTCTTTCTATAATTGTGATAGATTCCCCTATTGATGCTTCATCTATCTAAAATATTAACACTTTTTGCTTAATCATTAAATCTCTAATTGGAAAGAGAAGAAAAACCCAGTATGCCCAGCAGCAAAGAGAAAAACAACCAACTAAGAAAGGAGAGGATGAACGAAAGAGACACAAAAGAAAAACCAGCAGCATACTGGAAGAAGAAAAGGAAGGACAAAACTAGAAGAAAGCAGTGAATAAAGAGAACCAGCAACAAGGAAGATACACCCAAAGAAGATGAGAAGGCTATGGAAGGAACCTGGAAAAAAACTAAAGCAAAGAAGGAAATCGAATGAGGAAGGAGATGAGGAAAACCTGATCACATAAGAATGAGAGTAAAATGAATCATTAGGGAAGATGCGAAGGAAAAGATGAACCTTACGTCCACGATAATGGTGTATTCTTAAGATGAGAAGTTTCTCGTCTATACGAGGTTAATACACAATTTGCAATGATAGAAGCATATTACGTAATTCTTATTTAAGGACAAGATTACATTGTCTAATTAGGAAGACAATTACAAGAAATGTGAATCCAAATCCTACTGTTCATAAGATTCTTTAAAAAGAATAATATGTTCTCACATGAAAAAAAAATGGACCTAGAAACCCTCAAGAGAAGAATAAGAAGTGAGAGTTTTAGGAACCCTTTAGTTTAAACATAAAACATTTATAAGGTGTCTTGTATACTTATTGTTCAGAAATATATATATATATATATATACATAGAGAGAGAGAGAGAGAATGGAACTATTAAGTCCTATTGATCTTACCCATATCATATTAAATTACTTAACCAAGCAATATGCATCATGGTTATAAGTTAGCATTAAACATTCACGTATTCTGAAATTTTTTTCTCAGAACAAATTGCTAAGAAAATAGGGCTAAGATCATGTTAAGTGCAACTGGATCATATTAAATGCTCTTTTTTTTGGTCGTCAAACAAAGAAATTTTTTATTAAAATGAAAAATGAACAAGAAGAAGAGGAGTGGGACAGACAGAAGTCCAACAAGATAAAGAAAAATAAAATACACTAACATTCTACAACTGGCTCTCTAATCCCTAGAAATTAAAAATAGAGGTGCCTCGTTAAAAAGGGAACCACTAACACCCACACAAAAAACAGACTAAAAAACAAATCATTTCCCAAATGCTTGCAAGACATTCTGCATTCTAAAAAATTATAGCATTCCTTTCTAGCCATAAAACCCAAATTCTGCACAAACCACACATCTCCAAAGAGCTCATGCCTTGAGATCCAAAATCTCTAAACAATGCAAAGCAATGCTCACAAGAGGATCGAACAAACCAATCAACCTCCGCCAAATAAAAATAATAATAAATCACGCATGGCTATTTATTATTTTCACACTAAACACTCATAGGAGTTATATTCTGGTATTTTACCAACCAACCAAAAAAAGAAAAAAGAAAAAAAAAGAAAAGAGAGAAAGAACAAGAACAAGATACATCAAACTCGACAATTTCAAAAGTTACATGAATCATAAATTGTGAATCAAACCATGAATGGTAAGATTCTTCATAGATTCTACACCAAAATAGATTCGCCCGAAGATTCACAATTTCAAAAGTCACATGAATCATAAATTATGATTCGAACCATGAATGTTAAGATTCTTCACTGATTCTACACCAAAATAGATTCACCCAAAGATTTATATCAATCTATGCATGAATCATGAATCGTAAGATTTTGTACTTGGAAAAAAAAAAATTACTCACCACCTCACAATGAGCAAATGAGAGATTAAGTTACAAAGACAATCAAATTGCAACAATTTGACGCCTCCTTATCATATTATCAATCATGAGAACCTCTTGTGAGTCACATTCTGCACAAAGAAAGCAACCTTGGAGGATTGAATTTGGATGTGGCCTCAACAAACAAAACTCCTTTCCAAAGGAAAGCCACCCTCTACTCTCCAACATACTATAACACAACATGTTGTATAATGCTCTTTTTCTTTTTCCTTCTTTTGTGTGTTTTCTATTGTTTTGCTTTCATTTTGAACATAAGATGCTAACTACCAGTAAGTCACTGCATAAGGGAAATGTAGGAGGGTGGGTGAGAAAAAACATCAACAAGAGATCTCCATTTCAGGCAAAAGTGTTGTCCAACCACCATGTTTTTAAAAAATGTATTAATCTGATTCTCACTGCAATGATTGAACATCTTTTGATGTTAATTAAATACTTAAAATTAGTGGTAAAAAAGTCAACTTAATGCATTGGAATGTCTCTTCTTGTTTTCAGGAGTCACGGGCACATGGGAAATTCTACTGGCATGTGGATGCATGCACCATGCCAGGAACTTTTAAACTTAGTATTTCTGAGAACTTTTTATGGGTTCAGGGCATGATCAAGCACATCACGCTTTCTGACCTGGTATACTTTTAACAAAAAAAAGCATGCCCTCATATACTCATTACTATGTGTTGTAACCCAATATACCATTACAAAGAGTCAAATTATGATGCAGTTTTATTGCATATTTTGTGCTGTAACCACTGGATCCTTACATATTATAATACGTTATGAAAACAAGAAATTATGAAATAGAAAAAAACAGTATATGATACTACATCTATAAACAAAAACTGCACCAAAAGAAAATGGAGCGGCAACATTGCATTTTCCAACAGTGGCTATGGACAGATATCAATGCATATATTTATTTCATTTTCTTCTTTTTAATAAAATTTCCTTTGTTGTCAGTCAAAAAAATTCCAATGCGGTATGCACACATGTAGACCCAAGTTGGGATTTCAAGCACAACACCTGAAGCACTAAACGGAAGAACTAAACGCATCCAGCCAATTAGACACATAGTTCCAGATCAATCTGGGGGCATGAGCAAGAAGCAAGCCAAGCTGACAAAACTATGGGAAATATGCATGTGCTTTAGCATTTTTTTATTTTGAAAAATGTAATTGTGTACTTGACTATGAAGATTTTGTGACAGAGCAAATGCAAATAGAGTACAACATAGTATATTTGATATATAAGAAAGCGAGCAGTACATTTTATTTTAAGAAAAAAAATTAAATTAAAGATAAAAGAGAGAATAAATTTGAACCTGAACGGCTGATATACTGATAGCACCATCAATAACTCCAGGTCGAAAACCTAAGCCCTACAATATATGCAGTATAAACACTCTATTTCCCAAAACATCCAGCAATGGAAGAGAAAAAACATACGAGAGATTTGTTTTGCACGTAACATCAAGAAAGCATCCAATTTGAGTGAATCAATACATAAATTGAATACAAACTTGAGATAATTTCAATTTATTCAAAACATGATGCCCAACTTGTCAACTCGAATTCTATATTTTGATACCAACTTCAATTCTATATAACCGAACTTAAATCTCTTCTTTGAGGTTCACAAACAGTAACTAATTCCAAAAATCTATGTAGTGTCATATGTATTTTATTTATCTTATTATTAATCAAGGATTTATTGTATAGCCAGAATGAACACCATATAATTGTGAATACTTTTTTTGATATGAGTAAATTAGAAATGCTAAGTTGTAATAAGATTTTTCCTATCGACAACAAAGGATAAAATTAATAAAAGCAAGGAAAATACAAACAAGAAAGAAGTTGTCCTTGTAGAGAAAGAGGAAGAAAAGAAAAGAACATAAAATCACAGATGTTATTTGTTAAAAATATTTATTCTCCACTAAATTCAAGTTGGAAACATATGATTGAGTTGGGTTTTGGTGACTGAAAGCAAGCAATCAACTTGGCAAAGCATATGGTGTCTCTTTATTAATAAGTTCTATTGTATCAACTACTAGGACCTTCAATCAAATGGATGAACAATTTGTTTAGTCTTGGAACTTATGGGGCAATACAAGAATGTAAAAACTACAAAGAATTTTTCCTTCCCTAAATGTATATATCCTAGTAATGCAAAAGCAGTTCATAATCAGATAAAATTACAACGTTGTTCAAAACTTCAAAAGTCAAGCACAGGTTAAAATTTTGATCTTGGCATAATTTTGTTTAAAGTTTTCTAAAGATCAAATTATGACCACCTGTGGTAGGACATATAACGAGATATTTATTGGTTCCTGAGCTCTATCATGGCCTGTCATTCCTTTCGCATGATGTCAAGGGATTAAAACTCACACTTGGAACTTCCTGAATTATAAATTAAATTGCATCTTGTGTGATACAATTCTTTGGTGCTAAGGACATTGTTCTCATCACATAACATTCAATCGACAGATCACCTATAAAAACTTGCTCAGTCTATTGATACTTTACAGGATATGAATACTTAAACATGGCTAGCAGTCAGAAATGCTACTTTTTTCTTTTTAACATCTTGTTTAGAAATTAAATATTACAATCAGATAAATTTTATGTTATTTTAAAACCTACAGGCAAACAGCAGATAAGTGATCATTTTAAAATCAACTCTGAATATTTCCTCCTCCATTTGATTACTCTTTACTCAAAAGCATTTATTAACATACAAGGAACTGGAGAAAAGAAAATCTAAAGAACTCAACAATATTGACCTTTTTTAATCTAAACAATGTCACATTGTATTTAATAATCCTATATGTATGTAATAATCTACAAAATTAAATGTTAGAAAAAATCAATAGTTGACATAGGTGGCTACCTGACCCATGTCACCAAGTATAAGATCACCCTCCGCCTCGCGCTCCAATGCAACACCTAGGTTTGAATTTTACATTAAAAGAAAAAATGGGACAAGATGAGGGATAAAGGGGGGAAGACAAAAAATAAATAAATAACAAAATATATATAAAAAAAAAACTTGAGCTTAACTCAAATCCATAAATTCACATACTAAGCATTGATTGTGATATATCTAAGCCAATCCATTGGTGTCCATTCTCAGATAATGTCTCCCCACTAAGTCCTGATCCGCAACCTATAAAACACAATAACAGCCAAAGTTAACTTTTTAGTTTTGTGCTTTTGCTAAAAATTACAAAAGATGTAGGCCACAGCTTGTGGAGTCACTAACGATCTTGAGAGGGAATAAAAGAAAGGTAAGTAAATATGAAAAAATTTAGGTACAAAATTTGAACACCAAAACGAATTATACAAACAAAATTTGCATACAGAATCCCCATCCAGCATGATGTTAAATGGTATATTGCCAATCTTTACCATATCATTTTGTGTGAAAATTTATTGCCTATGGCATTGCTCACGTGAAAGGCCAAAGCCTAATTCAACACCCAATATGAGTTTCAGTGTTCAAGTGCAAATGGATCATTAAATATGTGAATTTTCTTTTCCACTTAAGCTCTATTCGGTTGCTAAAAGAATCGATTACAATAAATTTTTATTTTTTATTTTTGAAGTTGAAGATAAAAAGCTCTCGGCAACCAAACAGGGTTTTCGACAATTTTTTATTTTCAAGATTCAAGTCACTCTCAGAATATACCCTTTTGTAAACTATACATAACCCAGTATTTATTTTCAGCATTCAATCACATAATAAAATTATCAAGAGTCAAGACAGCAATTTGGGCAATTCAGCCAATTAGTTCCTTCCCCAACAATTATTAGGCAAATCAATCATATCATTTACCCATTTTTATTTTATTTTATTTTATTATTTAAAATTCTTGAGAAATACTAGAAACTTATTCAAGTCCTGATCTTGATAGCCAAGAGAGAAAAAGAAACACTTAAAATAATTACCAATGTCAAGAAGTAATCTGGGGACTCCATCATCGGGCAAAGCAAGAAGCTCGAGAGCTCTCTCCGAGAGTTTTGCCTGTAAAATTAATGAGTTATATATATATACATATATAGGTATAGAATATGTGGAAGTAGTGTAAGAAAGAGTACCTGAATTTGAATGATACGAGAAGAGGAGGTGTATTTGCGAGCTTCTTCATCGTTGTAGAATATCTCAGGAGGAGCTTGTACCTCTGGCCTTGACATCTTCAATTCACAAACACACACTCCACCAACTCTCTACCAACTCAGAGAGAGAGAGAGAAGTTAGGTTAGAGAGGGAATGGTAGCAGCCAAGAACCCAAACAAAGCCTAAAACCACAGTTTAATTGTTGTGGCGTTCGGATCCTCTTCTAGTTTCTCAACACGACCTCGTTTTGAGAACCCGAAATCAAAACCCTAATTTCTAAATTTGAAATTTAGGTTGTGTTTGGTTATATTTGCCAAATATTTTTACTCACTTTCACGAGTGTGGTATTTGTTTTAAGTTTTCAAATTATAATTTTAAATCCACTTTTGAAAACTTCTTTCTAGATAAAAAAATTTGGCTAACTCTATCGTCTTCCCGAACGTCCATCTGTTGACTAGAAAAGTGTTCAGTATTTTTTTTTTGACACCTGTTATTTTTATATTGTAAATAAAAAATATTTTCAGAATTTTTTTAATTTTTATATGAACTTTGAATATAATTTTAAGTTGTGTGTTTGATTATGAATTGTAAGTTTTTGAATCAAATAATTTTTCTAATTTCAAAAACTCAAAACTCCTTCCAAAACTCTTTTCAAAACTCATAACCAAACAAATTTTTCACATTCAAATATGATTACAAAACTCAAAAACTCAAAATACAACTCTATTCTCAAATCATATTTAGAAAACTCTACCAAATGCTGCCTTAATTTCTCAATCAAAACCCTAACTTTTCAATAAAAAATTTCAATTTCTCAACTTGCTTTCATTGTTTTCAATAGCAAGTTTTGGAGGACCAACTTGGTTTAATCTGTGACGTGAGAGCTTCGGTGGACAACAATTGTTGAGAATTTTTATTTATTTATTTATTTTTGAGGTGAGTTGTGTTTGAGATGTTGATTGACTTTTATCTTAGTTAATTTGATGGTTGTAAGATAAAAAGTAAAATGATTATGAGTTAGATATGACATTTTGTTTTATTGATTGTTTTAACCCATTTTTGTCTTTTAGTAGGCTATTTTAGCCAATCCTCTTTCCAAACACCCTTTTTTTTTTTTTGGTTATAATGAAAAATATAAGGGGAAAAAAAAGTGCAGAACTATTGGGTAGCTCAAATTTTCCCTAGCCCGAATGACTCGAAGTGCCAAAACAACGTCGTTTTGACATTTTTTTTTTCTTTCTTTTTCCTTTCCCTTCTCTTCTTCCTCTTTTTCCTTCCCTCTCTCTTTTTCCTTCCTCTTCTCTCTCTATTCTTTCTAGCAGCTCCGAACTCATAATCAAAATCATTTTTTTTTCTTTTTCCTTTCCGTTCTCTTCTTTCTTTCCATTCTCTTTTTCCTTTGTTCAAAATCAAAACTCAAGATCAAAATCAAAATCAAAATCCAAAATTAAAATCAAAACCAAACCTACAGAATCAAAATCAAAATCAAAATCAAAAAAAAATCAAAACAGCCACAGCCGAAGATCAAGCTGTGGCCTCTCCGTCCATGGCGGTGGGTTGGGTTGTGGTGGTTCAACCGAAGATCAAGCTTCAGCCTCTTCGTCTATGATTGTCGGTTGGGTTGTAGTTCAACCAAGAATCATGGCGGTGGGTTGGGTTGTTGTAACACCCGCCTCCTTAATTAACTGCAAATTCTGTGGTTTGTCTTACTTTTGTGATTATATATTGCTTATGTGTTTTTGTGTGCGATAATTATGTGTTATGAGCTATATGAATGGTGTTATAGTCAACAGATATGATAACATATGAAATGAACCTGTCTGAATTGTTAAACTATAAGGTTAAAATTAAATGTTATACTAGGTGATTAGAGTCTAATTCACCTTAATAAGTTTTGACTAGGTTGAGTTAAATTAGGTAATAATGAGGATTGACTTGAATTAAGTGAATTTGATTCGAATTAATTCAAACTTAACATTAATTAAAGTCAGATATTTTGTAAGGTTTGGAACTCAATAATAAGTATGGGAGAGAGAGAGAGACAGACAGACAGAAAGAGTTCTAGAGCCTTGTGAGAACTAGAGGTTGAAAGAAAATAAGAAGAAAAAGGGTTTGAGCAAATCTCCATAGATCATCCATCTAAGGTAGGATATCTCTCTTAACTCCTTAGATTTAAGTCTTCTACACTCTTATCCTCTTGAATTTAAGTTTGATTAGGAGGAAATCATGCATAATTGTGGGTTTGGTGGTGTAACTTCATGTGGTAGCTCATAAGAACAAAAAGGAAAAAGTTGTAAGGAATAGCTCAAGTGTTTGACATACATGGCATTATTTTTGAATATACACTTGTTTTCTTCCATGGTTTTGAGTTTGAAAATGATGAATCTTGAGCTTGGAACTCAAGCTTCCATGTTTTGTGATTTTACTCTTCACTTCAAGAATTCGACCCTTAATTTGGTAACTTGTGTTTTGATTTGAAATTATGATTTATTATGTGTTTTTGTGTGCGATGATTATGTGTTATGTGCTATGTGAATGATGTTATAGTCAACATATATGATAGCATGTGAAATGAACCTGTCTGAATCGTTAAACTATAAGGTTAAAATTAAATGTTGGACTAGGTGATAAGAGTCTAATTCACCTTAATAAGCTTTGATTGGGTTAAGTTAAATTAGGTTATAATGAGGATTGACTTGAATTAAGTGAATTTGAGTCGAATTAATTCAAGCTTAACATTAATTAGAGTTAGATATTTTGTGAGGTTTGAAACTCAATAATAAGTATGGGAGAGCGAGAGAGAGAGAGAGAAAAAAAGAGCCTTGTGAAAACAAGGGGTTGAAGGAAAAGAAGAAGAAAAAGGGTTTGAGCAAATCTCCATAGATCATCCATCTAAGGTAGGATATCTCTCTTAACTCCTTAGATTTAAGTCTTCTACACTCTTATCCTCTTGAATTTAAGTTTGATTAGGAGGAAATCATGCATAATTGTGGGTTTGGTGGTGTAACTTCATGTGGTAGCTCATAAGAACAAAAATGGAAAAATTGTAGGGAATAGCTTAAGTGTTTGGCATACATGGCATTATTTTTTAATACACACTTGTTTTCTTCCATGGTTTTGAGTTTGAAAGCATGAATCTTGAGCTTGGATCTCAAACTGCCATGTTTTGTGATTTTACTCTTCACTTCAAGAATTCGACCCTTAATTTGGTAACTTGTGTTTTGATTTGAAATTATGATTTATTATGTGTTTTTGTGTGCGATGATTATGTGTTATGTGCTATGTGAATGATGTTATAGTCAACATATATGATAGCATGTGAAATGAACCTGTCTGAATCGTTAAACTATAAGGTTAAAATTAAATGTTAGACTAGGTGATTAGAGTCTAATTCACCTTAATAAGTTTTGACTAGGTTGAGTTAAATTAGGTAATAATGAGGATTGACTTGAATTAAGTGAATTTGATTCGAATTAATTCAAACTTAACATTAATTAAAGTCAGATATTTTGTAAGGTTTGGAACTCAATAATAAGTATGGGAGAGAGAGAGAGAGACAGACAGACAGACAGACAGACAGAAAGAGTTCTAGAGCCTTGTGAGAACTAGAGGTTGAAAGAAAATAAGAAGAAAAAGGGTTTGAGCAAATCTCCATAGATCATCCATCTAAGGTAGGATATCTCTCTTAACTCCTTAGATTTAAGTCTTCTACACTCTTATCCTCTTGAATTTAAGTTTGATTAGGAGGAAATCATGCATAATTGTGGGTTTGGTGGTGTAACTTCATGTGGTAGCTCATAAGAACAAAAATGGAAAAATTGTAGGGAATAGCTTAAGTGTTTGGCATACATGGCATTATTTTTTAATACACACTTGTTTTCTTCCATGGTTTTGAGTTTGAAAATGATGAATCTTGAGCTTGGAACTCAAGCTTCCATGTTTTGTGATTTTACTCTTCACTTCAAGAATTCGACCCTTAATTTGGTAACTTGTGTTTTGATTTGAAATTATGATTTATTATGTGTTTTTGTGTGCGATGATTATGTGTTATGTGCTATGTGAATGATGTTATAGTCAACATATATGATAGCATGTGAAATGAACCTGTCTGAATCGTTAAACTATAAGGTTAAAATTAAATGTTGGACTAGGTGATTAGAGTCTAATTCACCTTAATAAGTTTTGACTAGGTTGAGTTAAATTAGGTAATAATGAGGATTGACTTGAATTAAGTGAATTTGATTCGAATTAATTCAAACTTAACATTAATTAAAGTCAGATATTTTGTAAGGTTTGGAACTCAATAATAAGTATGGGAGAGAGAGAGAGAGACAGACAGACAGACAGACAGACAGAAAGAGTTCTAGAGCCTTGTGAGAACTAGAGGTTGAAAGAAAATAAGAAGAAAAAGGGTTTGAGCAAATCTCCATAGATCATCCATCCAAGGTAGGATCTCTCTCTTATTTCCATAGATTTGAGTCTTCTACACTCTCATCCTCTTGAATTGAAGTTTGATTAGGAAGAAATCATGAGTAATTGTGAGTTTGGTGGTGTAACTTCATGTGGAAACTTATAAAAACATAAAAGGGAGACATTGTAGGGAATAGCTCAAGTTTGTGACATACATGGCATTATTTTTGCATATATACTTGTTTTCTTCCATGGTTTTTGAGTTTCAAAGGATGAATTTTGAGCTTGGAACTCAAACTTCCATGTTTTGTGATTTTATTATTCACTTCACGCATTTGACCCTTAATTTGTTAACTTGAGTCTTGATTTGGACTTATGATTTAAATTTGAAGTTGGATATGTTAAAGTCAAGCTGTTTTTCAGGTTTTAAGCCTTGATTGGCATGAAATTGAAGTTAGATATTGAAAAACGTAAGTTCCAAATTTAGCACAAATTTTCAGACTAAAATGAACCCAGACCGCACGTGCGGCTTGAGGCCCTGCACGTGCAACCAAGTCTTCACTGTTCCAATGTTGCTTATGTTTTAATTGCACGTGCGGTGGCATTTCCGCACGTGAGGCCAGACCCACTGCACGTGTGGTTTGCAGGACGATCCCGGATTCATTTTCTGTTCGTTTTTCTGACTCCTGGGCCTCCATTTATGGCCTCGTTTGGGAAGTGACTATTTTAGTAGGTTATTTTAGTTTTTGGCTATTTTAGTAGGCTAAAATTTGTGTTTGGGAAGATGATTGGATTTTTTTGTGGTTGGATGTGATGTTTGTGAGAGAAAAAGTGAAATGATTATGGGTTTGATGTGATATTTT